CTCCAGATGGCTCTCCCACAATGATGTCAGGAGTTGCCCGATTTTGGCCACGTGAGTTCAGTCCTGAAGGGAGTCCATGCTCCCCGAGTACTGTCCAAACTCACCCGAGGGCATGGGCCAGATATTTCCCCTGCACCACTCTGACTGCCGACGGTTCCCGCCTCCTCTCAGTTCCAGTACAGTTACTGCGGCTGTCACCACTTCCACCAAGTGGTATCCACTAGGGGAGCGTTGTGGAATCCAGATGGAAGTCCCACTAAGTCAGTCAGAGCAGGAGATGGACCACTTCGCAACATCTACTCCAGAATACTCACCATAAACCCAGAGGGAAGGCCACTTGTTTCTGAGTTTGTTCACTTCTGGAGTGTCCAAGAAGGCACTTCGGCCTAGTCCAGCTCCAGAAGCAGAGCGCCACCAAGTCTTCTTTTCAGAACGACAACCACTAACGTCCTCAGCTCCAGAAACTGAGGTCTCTAGACCCTCCTCTTCCAGAAGGAGTTCCAACTGACGTCATTCCTCTAACTCCAGAGGGCAGAAGTCTCTACACACCTTCCGAAGGGCAACCATGATGTCCTTCTATTCCAGAGGGCGAAGTCTCTACGACTATCTCTTCCTGAAGGAAGACCTACTGAGTGTCTTCTATTCCAGAGGTCAGGATGTCTCTAGAACTCTCCCAGAAGGAAGCCCAGCTAGTTGGTCGCCCTACTTCCCAAGAAGCGAAGTCTTTGACCTTCTCTTCCAGAAGGAGCCCTGAGGTCCCTAGCTCCAAGGCGCAGATAGTCTCTTGACCTTCTCCTCCAGAAGGAAAGCCCATGATGTCCTACTCTCCAGAGGCAGAATGTCTCTAGACCTTCTTCTCCAGAAGGAAGCCCACTGATGTCCTCTACTCCAGAGGCAGTCTCTAAGACCTTCTCCTCCAGAAGATCACTGAGGTCTCCTCACTCAGAACCAGGAAGTCTTGGACCTTCACTTCCAGAGAAGAAGCCCACTGATGTCCTCTACTCAGAGGCAGAAGTCTCTAACCTTCTCCTCCAGAAGGAAGTCTGCTGAGATCCTCTACTCCAGAAGCAGAAGTCTCTAGTTTTCTCTCCAGAAGGAGCCCACTGATGTCTACTCCAGATGCAGAAGCTCATTGCTTCCTTCCGTCTCTAGAACTTCTCCAGAAGGAAGTCCACTGAGGTCCCCTACTCCAGAGGCAGAAGTCTCTAGAACTTCTCCAGAAGGAAGTCCACTGAGGTCCTCTACTCCAGAGGCAGAACCCTCTGGGCCCTCACCTCCAGAGGGCAGTCTGCTAACCTCAGGAGTGCTTGACCACTCAATTCTGTCTTCCTCCCCTGAGGGCAGTCCACTTCCCACAGGCAGGCCTGAGCCCACCGTGGAGGTGACAACACTGGAGTCAAGTTCTCCAGAGGGCAGCCCACTTGCACTGACCCCTGAGGGCCGCCCACTGAAGTCAAAGTGTCCTGATGCTTCTCCGCTGCCTGTGAAGTCGCCACTGATGTCAGGGGCCCCAGATGCCTCCCCAGAGCCTGGCGGCTCAGTTCCGCTGGGCGCCGGGGCTGAAGGTGTGGCCGGCTCCTCTGAGGCGGACAGCTCCTGCGACGGGGACGGCTCTTGTGACGACGGGGACGGCTCCTCTGAGGCAGAGGGCGCTGCAGTGGCAGAAGGGCCTTCCGTGCTTTCCTCCGTTGTTGCACCAGTGGGAGACCACGTAGGAGGGGGCCCTGGAGGAGAGAAGGAAGAGAGGTGAGGTGTGGCTTCATCGACACTGGCCCGGTTTAAGCTGAACTCCATTCTTTCCGCAGTGACACCTTTCTCTCAAGAGCTCCGAGATGTGTCTGGACACTTTCTAATGGAACTGCGCAAGTGTCTTGCAAAGGAAGGAGGAAAGGAGGGGGAAGCGGGGAGGGAGGGCCCCAGGAAGCACCCCCCACTATCGTCTTGGCCACAGGATGTACAGGCTGTGCTTTTGAGGCTAGTCACACGGCACCCTGGAGAGTGGTCCTGGCCACCACTGGGAACACCAGGGTCATCCTTCAAGTCCTTCCACATTCTCAACTCATTTATCTAACCCCATGGTTTTCAAAGCGTGGGCCCCGGGCCAGCAGCTGGCATCACTGGGAGCCTGTTAGAGCAGCGGTCCCCAACCTTTTTGGCACCAGGGACCCCCAACCCCCGCACACCGTAGGCAGGCAGGGCGTGTCCCTGAGCCCAAGCCGCACTGACCTGGCAGTAGGGACGTGCCCGCCGGGGTGTAGGCTGGCTCCCATTCCGTCTGGTTTTCTGGCTCAATGGTGAAGTCTGGGACTGCGGTAATCTCCTCCAAGGGCATGCTAGTTGTCTCCTCCCCCAAAGGGACAGCCGTTGTCTCCTCCCCCATGGGGACAGCCATTGTCTCTTCTCCCAAGGGGACAGCCGTTGTCTCCTCCCCCAAGGGGACAGCCGTTGTCTCCTCCCCCAAGGGGACAGCCGTTGTCACCTCCCACATGGGGACAGCCGTTGTCTCCTCCCCCAAGGGGACAGCCGTTGTCTCCTCCCCCAAGGGGACAGCCGTTGTCTCCTCCCCCAAGGGGACAGCAGCCACACCAGGCACCACTTGGGTAGCGATCCGGTCCTCCACATCAGTGGGTGACGTGGGCATGCCACCCTCCTCTTGTCCTGGAGAGGGCACTGCTGAGACACCTAAAGGGGATGAGGGTGGTGAGGGTCCCTCAATTACCGGTGGCCTGTCCAGGCTGGCGCTTCCTCAGGGGAGCTAGGGGACTGTGAGGGGAACCAGGCCTGCACGAGAACCGTGCTGCCCTAACCCTCCCTGTCCCCTGCCCTCCAACCCCCCTCCCCCCGCCACCTCCTAGCTCAGCAAGGTGGCTCTTTGCCGTCTCAATTAATAAGAGCCTTTGCATCTACTATAAATATCGATTTGCACACACCGTCAGCATTTCAGTTCAGGGTGGTCTGGGCCATCTTTCCTGCAGAGTCTACCATACATGCCGGGCATTATACTAAAGGTTCTATGTATAGAAAATCATCTTATCTCACAGCAACTTTATGAGATAGATACTACCCTGTTTCCCCGAAAATAAGACCTACCCATAAAATAAGTCCTAGCAGGATTTCTAAGCATTTGTGCAATATAAGCCCTACCCCGAAAATGAGACCTAGCGATGGGCGTGGCTACGCAGCGCATCTGCACAACCCATGCATTTTGTCGTGGATCGGTAAAGAAGATGAGCAGCCCTTCTCATCTGTCCCATGAGAGCTCTGTTGCTCGACATGAGAGATTGGGGCCAATGGTTCTAAGGGAAATAGAGTTGCAAGAAATTCAGGATGGAATTCAGATTTGGAGAGTTAGGATGATGTTCCAGAAGAAGACGACTTAATTATATTTGAATAAATGTAGATTTTTGTACTGTACTTAAAAAAATAACACATCCCCTGAAAATAAGCCCTAGGGTGTCTTCCTGAGGAAAAATAAATATAAGACCCTGTCTTATTTTCAGGGAAACAGGGTAATTATCCCATTTTACAGATAGGGAAACTGAGGCATGGAGTTACATGATTTATCCAGGGTCAGTGGCTCATAAGTGGCAGATCTAGTCTTTGAATTCAAGCATCTGGTGCAAGACTCCATGCTCTCAGCCACTGCATGATGCTGCCTATATTGGGGACAGAGATTATGTTCCAAGGACGTCAGGACCCCAAACAGGAGGGTGCTATTTAAACTCCAAGAAGCCATCCTGGGACTTGGAAGGGTGCAGGCAGGACTCATCAACTGGAGTAACTGTTCTGGCTTTGGGGAAACCAGCAGTGGGCTTGGTCAGGAAGGAAGCTGAATTTCTCTGCTGGGTAATATACAAGGCAGTGCTGACCAAGGGTCAGGTAGGTGGGCGGGGGTACATGGCTGGGGATTTCCTGGGAGCCTAGCCGGCTTAGCTTCTGCTGCCCAGAGCAGGGACAGAATTGGCCTTGTTGAGGCTGTCTAAATGGAGCTGCACTTGGAATTGGGTTTTAAAAGATGACCCTAGAAGTCTGGGAAACTTGGGGACACTCAGGGTTTTTGTTTTTCCTTAACTTTATTTAGAAATAATTATAGATTCACAGGAAGTTGCAAAGACTCTCAGTTTTGATGTATAGTACCTAATGTGTGGCGCAAGCTGTTATTACAATCTCCATCCTGGTCAGTGCACCCAGACTATGAGAACTTATCCAATCAGAGCCCAGCAATGCCCTGGCCCTGCCCTGGCCACACCCACTGCGCTGCTCCATGATGTCACTCTCAGAGGTCTAACTGGGAGTGACCGGTGATACAGCAGCGTGTCCACAGCATGGGTCAATTAAAAACGTGAACGACTGCTGCTCAGTGACGAATAACAGAACAATTTGACTAAACTCACTGCAAAAATATTTCCCAGCAGGAGGGAGTTTGACAAGGGTGTACAAATGCAAGGGGGCATAAAATAAAGCTATGTTATATATACACATGATGTATATATTGATACACACAATAATGCTAACATTTACTGAGCATTCACTATGTCCCCGGCACCATGCCAGGTGCGTCCCGCCCACTCCCCCAGTTGACCCCTACAGCACCTGTCGTTGAAGCAGGGACCGTTATGTCCCCATTCTCACGTAGCTACGACGCAGCAGCGCCATAGTCCGAATTCAAGCCTGCCTGATTTTAGAGCCCGAGTTCTTTCTCACGTCTCTCCCCTTGTCTGTGGGGAGCTTTAGAAGGATGACCTTTGCCTTGGGATCAAAGCCTAAGGCCGCGCTCGTCCCAGAGCTGCCCCCGCCCCAGAGGGACTGACCCTCTCCCGCATGCTTTTGGTGGGCGGGGACAGCGGGGGCTGCGGAGGACAGGTGACAGTCACGAACCTCGGAAGCAGAAGGCGTGGTGCCGGGACAGCGGGTCCGGGAGGCCCGTCTGGTTGGGGTGGAGGTAGACGGTTCTCACGCCGGGCTTGTCCCCGCCGCAGGCGGCCCGGGCGGTGACGATGGGGTAGCGGAGGCTGCCGTCGGCCAGCCAGCCGGCGTAGCACTTGTCCAGGCCGCGGCTCCAGGCGGCGTGGAGCTGGCCCGTGGAGGCCAGCGTGGCGTTCTGGGACTCGCAGAACTCCAGTGCCTCCCGGAAGGTGAACTGCTCCGGGCGCGTGGCGAAGAACACCTCCCCTGGGGCAGAGGCAGGTGGGGGTGACCCTCCACGCCCCGCTTAGACACCCTCCCCTGGCCAGAGAGCTGGTTCGCCCGGGCACCCTCCCACCCCCTGCACTTGTCACCTAGCGCTGCGATCGTTGCGGACCTGCCCCCCACCCTGAGGACTCACCGAGGGCGGCCGGCGGGCCCCAGCTCTCAGCACTACACCCACCCGGGGCCTGTCTGCGTTAGGCAGGAGGACGTTCCCATCTACCCAACACCCACTTGCGCAAGGCACTTTCCACACATATCTCGTTTAACACTCAAAAAAGCCCCTGGTGTGGGTACAAGCAGCCCCATTTTACAGATGAGGAAACTGAGGCCGACAGAGGTTAAGTGACTTGCCCAGGTTCCCGAAGCCAATTGAGTGACAATGCTGAGATCTTTCCAGAACACCAGCATGTTCAAAATTGGGTTCAGTGGAATAGTAATTTGGTGATTTCCGTTGAAATTAAAAGAAATGAAATGATACAAAATAAAGGCCTGTGAGGAAATAAGCTTTGGCAATGCTGGATTAAACAGAGTTAAAGAGGTTTTTTACTGCAGGACTTCTCAGAGCCTTTGATTTGTTTACAGGCATGGGGACTCTCCGAAAGGCAGATGGTGTATGTAACATTTATTTATAACAAATGGACTAATTTGCCCGCAGAGCTGACTGCGAGAATGTGGCCCTTACCCTCGAGTTGGTCCACGTAGCAGTAGACGTCATAGGTCTCCGATGACGGGCGCACGCCGTAGGTCCTGACCCCCGGGCTGCTGTCCTTGTCACCCACACATGGGGTCCGTGGGCTCACGATGGGGTATCTGCAAAGGAGGCGGGGGAGGATAAGGGCCTGTCCTGGGGGTGCAGGGCCCTGGGGTGAGGCTGAGGCCACGCAGGGACTTGGGCCGGGAGCGTCTTCCGTTGTCTGACAGACTCAAACCAGGAGGCAGCCCCTCGGGCAGCAAGTCCCCGGGTAGCCAGGGGATGGGTCTGGGGCCTCTGGGGGTCCCTGGCTTCATGGGGGGGAGCAGGCTCCAGCTGGAGGGGACAAGGGGCTTGAGGGGGGGCTGTGGAGCGGGGCTCCCTCTGTCTCTTGGGGGAAACGACCAAGAACTCAACATCGCCCAGAGCCCTGCACCCCCCTTTCGGGACGCCCTGAGTTGCAGGGAGAAGCCAGAGCAGCTGCGGAGTCGCTAATGCATTAATTCACCCACAAGGAGCCCGTGCGCTGGGGCCGGGCCGGGCCGTGGCTCCTGAAGCCTGACCCCTTGGGCTGGGCGTGGGCTGGGCGGGGAGCCCGCTGGGCCTCACCGGACGCTCTGGTCCCGCAGCCAGCCGGCGTCACACTGCTCGTAGCCCGCCTCGTAGGCCGCCTGCAGCTGCTCCGGGGACGCGATGGCCGCCCCGGTGCGCAGGCAGGCCTGCTGCGCCTCCTGGAAGGTCAGCGAGTAGCGGCTGGGTCCGGGGCGGTAGTGGAACACGACCCCTGGAGGGGAGGGGCGAGAGAAGGGGGGAGGTCAGGCGCCCTTGGTGCCCGGTTCTCAAGGCTCCACGGGCACCGGGCCACCTCCTGCTGTCTGGCGCACTGTGTGGGCTTAAGCAAGTCAGGCGGAGACCGCACTTGGTGGCAGTGTGGGTGTGACGGCGGGTGGCCGTGTCCACCCAGGGCCTTATGGAGGCCACACCAGAATGTCCTTCAAAGAGTTTGGGGAACACCCGAGCTCTATGCCATGTGGCACCCCAACTCTCTGCACATCTGTGAAGCTCCTGGAGCACCATTGTCCTAGAACAGGGCTTGGAAGCATTTTCTGGAAAGGGCCAGGGAGCAAATGTTTCAGGCTTTATGGGCTACACGGTCTCTGTTATGACCACTTCACTCGCTGGGATCGTCCTAAGGGAGCCACAGACGACATGGGTAGGGCTTTTCTCCACGCAAACTTTATTTGCGGACATTGAAATTCGAATTTTATTAACATATCATTTTCACGTGTCACAAAATAGTCTTCTTCTTTTTTAACTGTTTACTCCCACTGACTTAAGAATGTAAAGACCAGTCTTAGCTCACAGGCCACATGAGAACAGTGAAACGTGGCCCGCAGTTTGCTGGTCCTTGTCCTAGGAGGAGAGAGCCGTGAGAGGCCTCGGGGTCGCCGGTGCAGAGGTTTTCTAGTGGTTCTATTTTGTGGGGGTGCCTGACGGGGCGAGAAGGGTGCCTGGACAGGGGGAGCCCCGGTCCTCCACTCTGCCTCACTGGGGCCCGTGTGGCGCCTTTGTCTGCTTGATCTACACGCTGGCTCCCACACACGCCTGCACTTGAAATAATCCCTTGCGGCAGGAGCGTGGACATGACTGGCCTGGCCTACCCACTTTGCTTTACAGGTGGGGAGAGCGAGGGCTGGGAGGGGAGAAGCTTGTCCCAGGTGCTAGGTCCAGAGCTGAAGGTGCAGCCAGGACAGCCCCTCCCCACGAGGCCAAGTTCTTTCCACGTGCCCCTGTTGCATCCCCGGGGGGCGGGTACTCACCCCCTGGCAAGCGTGGCTGCCCAGGGACCTCAGCCGCACCTGGGGCGATGGTCACCTGCACCACCAGGTCCTCGCTGGTGAAGGCCGTGACAGAGCCCAGGCCAGGAGTGGATTCCTCGGGAACGCCCCAGGGCCCGGTGGCCTCCCCAGTCCTGTTCTCCTCGACCTCAGGGAAGGCGGTGGCCCCTGTGTCCGGGGCAAATGTAAACGGCTCCTCGGGCTCCAGGCCGGTGGGGGAGACGCCGAAGATGGGCCTCACGGTGAGGATCACGTTGCCTCGGGCTTCCCCCTCCGTGACGTTCTGGGGCAGTGGCAGCTCCACGTCAGGCCAGGTCACCGTCTGGATGGTGATCTCTTCCTCTCCCCCGGCCCCGAAGAAGTTTTCTGGGATGTCCACAAAGTCTTCACCTGGAACGGGGGCAAAGACAAGCTTTGGGTGCTCAGCCTGGGACTGGGCTGGAGAGGAGTGTGGGGTCCTCCTCCTGCCCCGCGGGGCCTCGGCAGGGCTCTGCACTCTCTGAGCACGGTTTATGCGAGGCCCCACGGTTTCGATATTGCAAAAGAACGCAAGAGTCATGAGGTGGCAAGAGGGCGGCCCATGAGGTCACTGCTTCTAAGGTCAGTTTCCACCCTGACATCCTTGCGCTTAACACTAGCTGCCTCTCTACCCATCTCATGAGCGGCTTGCTGGCCGTCTGATGTTGTCACTCTCCAACGGGACGATGTGCTAATAAATCAGTTATAAAGAGAAACCGTAAGTCTTGCAGAAGACGCAGTTCATAAAACTGATGGGAGAGACTTTGGAGAAGTGCTTGGCTCACACTCACGGATAAATGAGGATCTCGTGAGGGCGACACTACTTCCAAAAGAGTGGTTAGGATGTCAACAGGTTAAGAGAGGCTTTGGGGGAAAATCCTAACTATCTTTGCAAAAATAACCCTCCTCATGTAAGATCAGGCCGTGGAAGTGAAACATGGGATGAGCTGTCACTGCATTACCACCAAATCTGTCATGAAACCAGTGCAATTCCTCATGCAAGTTATTCATCGTTTTTTTCCTCCAAGAATTATCACTTCATTATGATTATAACCTAAAATTGTGTTAAATATACGATAAAACATTTATTTTAAAATTTTCATTTAATTTTTCAAAATAAAGTCCCTGTCGAGCTTTCCCCTACTCTTTTCAATAATTCTTTGAATCCTCCTAAGTGCAACCAATTTCAAAGGGCGGATAACAGCGCCCTCCTGTGGGCACATGGCCTCATGTCAGGCAGTGCCACCATCATCGCCCCACTGGACGGAGGAGGAAACTGAGGCTCTGGGCCTTCACTTTCCCGGGGTTGCACAGTAGAAGGTGGCAGAGCTGAGAAAACACAGATTTTAAAGCTCATGCTCTTTTTTTTTTTTTTTTTTTTTTTTTAGAGACGGGGTCTCGCTATGTTGCCCAGGCTGGAGTGCAGTGGCTATTCACAGGCGCGATCCCACTACTGATCAGCACGGGAGTTTTGACCTGCTCCGTTTCCGACCTGGGCCGGTTCACCCCTCCTTAGGCAACCTGGTGGTCCCCCGCTCCCGGGAGGTCACCATATTGATGCCGAACTTAGTGCGGACACCCGATCGGCATAGCGCACTACAGCCCAGAACTCCTGGGCTCAAGCGATCCTCCCATCTCAGCCTCCCGAGTAGCTGGGACTACAGGCGCGCGCCACCGCGTCCGGCTAAAGCTCATGCTCTTAACCCTCTTCCGTGCTGATCCGGCGGGACAGGGCTGGACACGCTGCAGCCTCCAGTGTCTACCACAGCTCTTCCCAGGAACCACTGAAAACTCGGGGTCTGGTGCCCAGTGGCCTCTTGGAGGGGAAAAACCCAAGCCTCCCTTTGCAAGACCTCCTCTTGCTCCGGGCCCCCATCTCAGCGGCGCAGACCCCGGCCCAGGCCCCACCTGTGTAGCAGATGGCGTCGTATCGGGACGAGGGGTCGGGGTAGCCCGTCTGGTTGGCGTGCAGGTAGACGGTGCGCACGCCCAGGAGGTTGCCCCCGCAGTTGGGCCGGGCCTTGGAGATGGGGTAGCGCACGCTGCGGTCGGCCAGCCAGCCGGCGCTGCACATGTCCATGCCGCCCTGCCAGGCCAGGTAGAGCTGGCCCGTGGTGGCCAGCCGGGCGCCCAGCCGCCGGCACTCGTTGGCTGCCTCCTGGAAGGTGAACTTCTCCGGGGACGTTGCATAAAAGACCTCGCCTGTGAAGGAAGGGCACGGAGGGCAGGTGGGGTCAGGGTCGCCCTCTGCCTCCCCTGCCCCCATGCCCGGAGAGATCCACGAGGATCTCTTCCTGCGAGTTCTTCCTGAGAGTTCTCCAACTCGCGTTGCCTCTAACTCCCCATAGCCCTGGGCCCACACGTCCACATCTCAGATCTCCCCCTTCATTTCCCAATTTCCATCTTTTTCTGGGCTTTTGAGCAGGACAACATCAATTTCCTAAAACAGAGGGCCCGAGAAAGAAGCAGCCAAAATGCCAAGGAGGCCAGACAGAAGGTAGAGCAAGCAAAGTCTGGGAGGCAAAATCTTCGCTCAAAAGCCCCTTTGCCTCGCTGTGTGCTGGGCCAACGTCCCACCCTAGGGGGTCTGTCCCAGGAGTTAAGCATGGCCCACCAGAGGCAATTTTTTTTTTTTTCAAATCCGTATTCTCATGGGAAAAGCAGGCATCGGGCTCTGACTCGATAGAGCAGTGTTTCCCAAACTGGGGTCTCTAAGCTCAGAGGAGTCCGTAAGGACGTAATTCGGGACCTATGAGCTTTAAAAGAATATTCCCCAAAATCTAACAAGGTAGCGCCAGGGCCAGGGGCGGGGGCGGTGGGCATCTGCTCAGTGGCAGCTCTGACTGGCTGTTCTGTTTGTCTTTGGTTAGCCACACATGGGAACACACGTATTTGTCACCAAATAGGCAGGTTTGCCCCTGGGGCGAGAATGAGGAAGGAGGCCAGGTGTCACCTGTGCCTCTGAACCAGCTCTGCTCCCAGCCTGGGGGAGCCGAGAGCGCCGTGCTTGCGGCTGGGGGTTGCAGGGGAGACTCAGAAGTGGCAGAGACTGAGTGTACAAAAAGTATACTGGTGCAGATGAGGGAAATGGTGTCATCCACGTGGCTGGGAAACTCTGAGGCCAAAATCAGTGCCCTTTATGAAACAGAGAAAAGGTCTGGGTTCCTCCCCCCGCCCCAGTTCTCTCCAGAACTAGCCCACAGGGCAGCCCTGGAGTGTGGCTGGGGCTGGCAACAGGGGCAGTGGGTGGGGGCTGGGCCGTCAGCTGTCCCGGGAACTACGTTCCTGTTGTCCCCATCCCTGGCAGGGTGATGAGGCCGGTGCGGTGGACGTGAGGATGGGGGTGAGCTGGCGTGGGCAGCCGGGGCCCTTCCTGGGTCACATGCTCTTGGGCCCCGTGGTGACACCAGGCAGTTGCAGATGTTGGGGCCACCGAGCCCCTGTCCAAAGTGGAGAGTGAGGGGTTCAGACCTGTGGGCTCTGCCTTCCTGCCTTCATGGCAGGGGAGGATCAGGTGTGTCAGGCTCCACCTGAGCTAGCCCCCGGCCCGGAGGAGGCCTGTGTGATCCCGAGTGTCAATGGGGAGATGGGGAGGAGGAGGGCCGCTGGGATGGGAGCAGGTGCCTCTCGTGGGCGGGGCGGCCTCACCCTCCATCTCCTCTGCGAAGCAGTACACGTCATAGGTCTCGTTGGTGTCCCGCACGCCGTAGGTCCTCACGCCGGGAAACTCATCCTTGTCTCCATAGCAGCCTTCCCGGGGCGTGTGGATGGGGTACCTGCCACGAGCCCAGAGTGGAGGCGTGACTGTCTGGGGCAGAGGGAGCCCGTGACCTGTGCCCTTGAACCCTCTTTCCTCAGTGACTTATATTGCATTTGGCCACGTCTGCGCTGTGTATGTGGACTGTTTTTAATTATTAATGATTAAAGGTAGCCCTTCTACTGAATATTTAGTGGTACCGAATACCTTCTATCTGGGGCCATAGGGCATAATTTGGGAACTGTGAGCTTTAAAGTTTTTCTATAAAAGGCCAGATAGTACAAATATTTTGGGTTTTGCAGGCCATAGGGTCTCTATGGACAACCTCACAACTGCCAATGTAGCATGAGGCAGCCACAGACAACATTTAAACAGATGGGCATAGCTGTCTTCCAACAAAACTTCATTTATAGTGACAAAGAGTGGGGTGGACATGGCCTGTGGGCAATGGTTTGTTAGCCCCTGCTCTATGTCACTTGTTAGCCCCTGATTTATGTCATTTGAGTCTCAAATCAACCCAATGAGGCAGGTGTTACAATGAACCTATTTTACAGTTACAGAAACTGGGACTCAGAGATGTTAAACAATTTGTCCAAGGTTACACAGCTTCCAAGGTCCAGAGCTGGGATTTGAATCCAGCTCTTTCTGAGGCCGAGCTGTGGGCTTTTGCATTATGCTAGCCTGTTGCCTCATCTTGTTTTGTTTGTTTTATTAATGGTTAGTATTTTTTGTGTCCTAAGATCTCGTTGCCTACCCCACCATTGCAAAGACATTTTCTTTTGCTTTCTTCCTGAGGCTCTGTGCTTCCGGCCTTTGCTGTCAGAACCATGATGCACCTGCAGTGAACCATCCCCCTCACGATGCACTGAGATCCTTCGGCGACAGGCTCTCCTGGGGCCACTCTGCAACCCATTCCCTAGCGGCTACACTCAGGAGAAGATGTAGCAAGAAGCTATTTGCCTATTGCCTTATTAAAAACAGAAAGGATGTAAGGCAGTTTACAAAAATACAGAAAACATCAAGGTTTTTCTAAAAAAAATGGAAGACCAGTAAGTGAAACAACTGTGGCAAAGAAAAAAATGGGTAGGAAAAATAAGGACACGCAGGGCCTGGTAGCTAGCAGCCACCTGCTCTATTGCAAGGGAGAGTAACAAGCATTTGGGGCGGCTCATCGAGTGTCCGTGTTGCCCAAGGCTTGACCCCGGCCCCAACCTAGGCTGGCTACCGTGTCACGCTGGCACCGACTCAGTGCTGGTCAACATCCCACCCCATCACCTGCCCCACTGCCCTGTGGCCTCTGACCCCTGGCCCCGGCCTGATGCCCCACTCCGCTGGCAGGTGGGGGCTCACCTGACAGTCTGGTCGGCCAGCCAGCCGGCGTCGCACTGGTGGAAGCCGTCCTCGTAGGCGGCCTGCAGCTGCTCGGGCGTGGCGATGATGGCGCTGTTCTGCAGGCAGGCCCGCTGCGCCCTGTCGAAGTCCAGGGTGTAGCGAGTGGAGATGGCTCTGTAGTGGAACACGATGCCTGCAAGACACGCGCACGCACGGGCGGGACGGCTGGTCAGGGACCGTCTCTGATCACTCACTGAGGCCCTCGCAGAATTCCGGCTATTGCCGCAAGGTCAAAGGGCCTTGGGAACTATCTGGTCCAGGCTGAAGCGTGGATGCCCTCTCCACATTTGCATGTGGTCCTTCTGACTTTGCTGGAATCGCTGGTGACGGGGAACTCACTACCTCACGAGGCATCTCTTTTTGAATACTTATGATCCTCTGATGATAATCAGAAAGTTCTTTGAATTAAACTAAAATCTGCCTTTGCTTTGGGGAAAGAGGCACTGAAAGCACTCAGAGCCCCCCTGCACCCTCAGGCCAGGGGCATCCTAGTGGGAGCCCTGTTTAAGGTGCCCCCAGGGTGGACCCGCTCTGACAGAGCCTGCCGTTGTACCTCCCCCTAGGAACAGTCTGGTGCTGACCCGAGCTCTGAAGCTAACCGAGGACCCAGCCACTCTCCCTGGGTGAGAGAAAGGGCACCGGGGAGCCTTCAGCCCTCTCTTTGGCTTCTGAAACTGAGACTGAGGGCTGGAGGAAGAGGAGGGACAAGACACCTGGATGAAGCGTCAGGAGACTGCTGCGGCTCATTTCCAGGGTAACCTTAGGCAAGTCACTTAACCTCAGTTTGCTTATCTGTAAAATGGGCATGATCACAAGGCCCACGACTCACAGGATTGGTGAGAAGCACAAACTGTCATTTACCTATGACTGTAGCCAGAAAGCATTTAATCCCCCCCCAAAAGTCCAGAGAGAAGCATATCACTAGCTCCGGGTCACAGAGCAGCAGCTGAAGTTAAGTGCCTCGACTGGGGTGCAAACCAGTGCATGGAGGGGCTGGTCTGGGAGCCAGCCTGCCTGGACCCACACGGGTGAGGACATTCTGGCTCTTTGTGGGGGTGAGGCAGCATCCCTGCAGGGGGGGCCCTCACCTTTCACCACGACCTCCAGGGTGGCCTCACTGTCCTCGATGCCGTGCATCACCTCGCAGCGATAGGTCCCCGAGTCATTGGAGCGCAGGCTCTGGATTTCCAAGGTGGCGTCGCTGGGGATGGCGGGGTAGTTGGGCAGGGAGACCTTGTCTTGGTAGGCGCTGTTGACCCGCACGCGCCCTCCGGTGGCCACCAGCAGGACCACCTCCTTCTCCTTGGAAACGCGGCTCCACTTGATTCTCGGGGTGAGCGGGGCGGTGGAGGGGGCGGTGGTCACAGGGTGCATGGGGTCGATGAAATAGCAGGGGATGGTGAGGGACGTCCCCAGGAGGACCTTCATCGGGGACGGCTGGGGGATGCTCACACTCAGCGAGTTGTCATGGTCTGCGTGGGCGGGGCGGGCACGGAAGACAGACCTGTTAGTGCCCAGAGGGGACCGCCCCGCCCCGCAGCAGCCCTTCTGGAAGCGCACTCTCCCGAGAGGGCAAAGTCCAACCAGGGTGTCCGTGTCTGCCATGGGCCTGCTCCTGAGAGCTCCAGGCGGGAATTCCCAGCAAGCCTTGCACCACCCTCCCCAGAGCAGTGCTCCTGGCCTCTGCGCCCTGAGGCAGAAACCCTGAAGCCAGGAAAGGGTTCCAGGGGAGGGGCAGGGGAAACGGCAGAGTCAAGACCGCCTCTCTGTTTCTCAAACTGGGGTGCCCCCTCAGAGGAGGCCAGGCCACGGGAGAAGCAGGACTCGTCTTCCCCAAGTTGACAGCTTGACTCAAAGATTTGGGGAAAAAATTATTTTGGGGGTAGAAAAAAAATGATTATGGGGTATAATCTACACAACTTTAGAGCTAAGACCCAAAGCTTCCAAGATGTGTCCCGCTTGGGGAGGACTGCTTTGGGTGCTGGCCCGACCCTGCAGGGGGGCAGGCCACTTTCTCCTGCTGCCGGGAGTCAGGGGCTCCGGCAGGGGGAGCATCAGAGAGCATCAGACATCTAGTTCTGCAAAGAGTCGGGGGTGGGGGGCTGGGGGATGGCATAGACTAGACTCCACGAACACCGGACACCGAGGAGAGTGTTGGCAGGGGAGGTGTGTTTACCAAATCCTGTTGGGAGTGAAAGATCTGCTGGGAATGGGAAAGAAGCGGCTTCCCCCAAAAAACAGCACCTTTCATGGTGGGTCATAAATTTATGAAACTTTCTCCCAGGAGAGCCTACAGGTTGAAGGAAAAATGTTTCGGATATTTGTGTGTGGTGGATGCATAACAGGGCAAAGGCGGGGGGGGGCAGGAATGTCTGGGGCACAGGCCTCACCTTTGATGTCCTGGACAGCCCCCCCGCCCCCCTGCCCCTTCCGCAGGCATCTCTCCCTTGGCCCTGGCACCCCCGGACACAGCTCGGTTGTAGCGGTGGTGGCTCTCGGTGGGTGGGTGGGGGCTGCGAGTGACTGCAGTGCCCAGCCGGGCGGTTTGTAAAGCCCTCCGCCAACCCCAGTGACCTGGCTCCCTGTGTGGGCAAGCCACCCGGGCACAGCCAGGGGCTGGCGTCTGCGGGTCCCCGAGCGCCAGTACCAACGGAGGCCCGTGTACCGTGCGTCTACATACACGTAAGTTGTAAATCAGCCAACAGATTGTTAAGTAATATGTTCTATCTTCCTGTTTGACAAGGATACCTTTCAAATTGAATTTAGAA